TGGGGAACTCTCACCCTCTCCTCCTCCGAACCCTGGTCCTTCCTTCCTGAGCACTCTGAGAGACAGAATTCATGAACTGCTTATTGTCTCAACAGACTGCAGGCTCTTGCAAGGTAGAGGCCACATAGACAGTATCCATCTCTGTGCACCACCACGACACAGACTTTGGTGCCTTGCCAAGAATAGAGGCATGATTGAATGAATGAACAATTTCTCACTCTGCCCCTGGCTTTTCTCTTGGACAAACCACTTTGCCTGTTTCAGTCTCAGTTGCCTCAGTTGTGAAGAGAGAATAAATAAACAGATGTACTCCCCAGGTGTGCTATGAGGAATAAACCAATGACTGAAAAGCAATTTGAAAATGTAAAATGAAATGCTATATATAAGTGTTATATAATCAAAATCATTTCCCTCTGTATTATGTTTTATTTGGCTTTATATCTTCAAATCCTTCATGGCTTTCAGAATTTCACAGATGTAGTACCATCCGTATTAGCACCTAGATTATCTTGGGTAGTAAACAATTTTCTGTATTATAGCTCATGGCTACTTTTCCCTGGCATTCTTACATGAGAATCTGTCATGATTTGGGGTATTCATAATCAGTAATGATAAAGTTCATTTCTAAGGGATAATCCAGCTATTTCACTCTTTGGCTATTATTGTTCTCATACTGCTGTGTCAAGGGAACTAACTCCCATTAAGTCTAAAACCTAAGTGCCTATCATTAGTTATTGCTGTCATCTCTGTGAAATTGGTCGTAAGTACCACTGCAGTTTCCCGATAGAAAACTAAGATATGGAAGGTTAATGATATGCCCAAGGTGTCAGAATGAATACATTGCAGAGCTAGTATTAGAATATGCAGCTTCTGGGCTGGGTGTGGTGGCTTACGCCTGTAATCCTAACACTTGAGAGGCCATGATGGGTAGATCACTTGAGGTCAGGAGTTCAAGACCAGCCTGGCCAACATGGGGAAACCCTGTCTCTGCTAAAAATACAAATCAAAAAATTAGCTGGGCGTCGTAGCGCTTGCCTGTAGTTCCAGCTACTCAGGATACTGAGGCAGGAGAATCTCTTGGACCCGGGAGGTGGAGGTTGCAGCGAGCTGAGATCGTACCACTGCACTTCAGCCTGAGTGATGGAGCAAGACTCTGTCTCAAAAAAAAAAAAAAAAGAATCTGTGGCTTCTGTCTGCATGTCTTTGCTAAGACCTTTAGCTCAACCTCTTCAAATTGTGAACAACTTTCTCAGTAAATATATGCTAAGAGAGGTGGTAGGAATCAGGGAGAGGAAAAAAATATATCCACATAAGTAAAATTTTCCTCAACTCTAGGTCTCCTTCTACAACTCTTCCTGTTTTGGTAACTCAGTCTCACTACACCTTCAAAAACTTTTGGTAACCAAAACTTTTAGAAGCTATATTCTTCCTTAAAGAATGAGGATGGTTTCCTCTCATTTCCACTTACAGACTGAAAGGACAATAGTATAATGAAATTAAAATAAACGGGCAAGGTGTGATGGCTCATGCCTATAGTCCCAGCACTCTGGGAGATCGAGGCAGACAGATCACTTGAAGACACGAGTTTGAGACCAGCCTGACGAACATGGCAAAACCCCGTCTCTGCTAAAAATATAATAATGAGTCAAGCTTGGTTGCCCACATCTGTAATCCCAGGTACTCGTGTGGCTGAGGCAAGAGAATCACTTGAACTTCGAAGGCAGAGGTTGCAGTGAGCCGAGATTGCACTACTGCACTACAGCCTGGATGACAGAGTGAAAGTCTGGAAAGAAAAGAAAGGAAGAAAAAAAGAAAAAGAAAGAGAGGGAGAGAGAGAGAAAAGAAAGAGAGAGGGAGGGAGGAAAAGAGGGAGGAAGGGAAGAAAGAGAGGGAAGGAAGGGAAGGAATGAAGGAAGGAAGGAAGAAATTGCACATGTAAATAGAAAATGTAAGTTGCACATGTAAATAGGAATTGTTCATACCACACTTTTCCCATCTCAACATCATTTTTGTCTCCTTTTTAGCAGTTAGTACTACTATAAATGCAATGCATTTGCAGTGCTTCATAACCACAGTCATGATGTCTCCTTTAAGCAGCTACACATAGTGGGCCAATTCAGCCACTGCTGTTTTATAGCCAAAGAAGCAAGAGTAAACAAAGATGAGTGATTGCCAGGAGCACTCACCACAGTAGCTGTTAAGATTAGAACCCATGGCTTCTACCACTCATATCCTATTGAAATTTAGGAGATTCTAAAATATTGTCTCAGTGTTAGAAAGAAGTGACAGTGCCTGAAGACAATCTTACCATCCACGGAACAAACCTGGTTTCCATGGTCCCACCTGAATCTTCTCATTCCCAAGCCATCCTGTAAATTTCATCTCTGAGTGAAAGAAGTTTCCTTTTGCAAAATAGGTTGGAACTAAACAAGTGATGTCTGCGTTCAGATTTTCACGGTCCTCTGTTTGTTCCATACAGATAAGAGTAAGCATGGGTTACCGGAGTGGTAACAGATCTCGTTTTCCCTTGTAGACTATGGGCATGGCCCAAACTCGAGATGTTAGGGGCTCTTGCTGAAAATTGTTTACAGCAAAAGGTGGTATGGAAATACAAATATAGTCTGAATGTGCTGATTTTTCCATGTCTTCTGTTCTGCAAGGGAAAACGAGATCTGTTTCTTGTCCAAGAACCCATGGATGATCTTATCTGTCTGAAACAAACAGAAAACCTTGGAAATCAGGACATGAAAGTCACCTGTTTAATTCTATCTTGTTTCATGACAGGAAAGTTTATTTCCTTTTTCATCATGTAAATACTAAAGTAAGTACATTCACAAGCCAGTGTTTGGCTCCTATTTTCAAAATGATTTTAAAAATAATAATCAGCATCTATGAAAAACCTTCACAAGGTGCTAATATGATAAGCACTGTTGGCAAACTTTTTCTCTAGTTGTATTCTGAAGTATGGTGGGGAAAAAAATCCAAAAAAAAAAAAAAGGTATATTTCTTCCACAAGCATTTCCTAATAATTCTAGTCAAAGATGATGTCTCATGACAGCCTCCATTTTTATGAAGGCTGTTTGTCTCAGGCAAACAGAAGAGCACAATTTAAAAAACACATCAAAGTGGAGTTCTGCTAGAATCAGGCAGGGAGTCAAGTCTTCTCTCTCTTTGGTCTTCTCTCCCGTATGGCACCTCCAGCCTTGTCCCTATCCAATCTAGACCTGGGCGGAAACCTGATGAATAAACCTCCAATCATGTGGTCCGCATCTAATGCTTTATGGGCAAAGGCCATTCTCCTAGCCATTCAGCAGCATGCTAAGGAACCTCTGGAATTGAGTCAGATGGTCTTCCTTGCCTGTAGCAGTCCTTTGGTTCACTAGCTAGGAAAGAAGGAACTTAGATATGGACAATTTTTGCATTACTGAGCAATTTTTCAGGGTCTGCAAAGGGCTGTCCATGCCCTAGTCTCTTGCCCTTCTGACAACCTTCCTATGGACCTTTCCCATCATCAGAACTTTCTCATGATGCAGGACCTTATAGAGGCCGGATGGCATTGAAATAATATCTGCAGCTCCCTTACATGTGAATAGTTGCCCCTACTGTGAGAGACCTTTAGGACTTCTGGGACCTGAATGAGATAATGGTCTGAAGTGGGCTTGGGCTGAAAGCAAGAGGTGAGTGGAGAAGGTGAGTAACAGAGCAGCAGGTTGCTTGACCCCTTTCTTGTTATGGGCAGGCATGCATTCCTTCTTACTAATATGGGTTGGGTGCCTACCCATGGCAAGTGCAGTTCTAGGCAGGGAGAGGCCCCTTACCCACTCAGAGCTGACGTCTAGGGCTTGCTTACATTCTAGGCTTCAGCCGGGAAAGCAAGAACACCCAACCCACTGCTTTCGATTCTGTTACTAGCTCAGCGCGCCTGTGCGAGCCGGTGCTGCAGCCAGGGTAGGGGCTCAGAAACCGGTTGACAAGTTGAGCAGCATGGTTCTGGTGGGTTAGGCAGGAAGGGCCCACAAGGCCATATTCCAGGGCTGTTCAGCCACGAGTGATCCCCGAGAGTTCGGGATCTCCGAGCTCGCCCAATGTCTCCATCCCAGCCAGGAGCTTGCAAAGGGGAAGGAGCCGGAAGCGCAGAGTGGGACAGATGTGGTTCGTTCTGGGGCTTCCTGTCCACGAAAATGGATGATTCTAGCCCTCCCTCAACGGAATCCTAGCGGACCCAGAAGACAGCAGAAGTCACCGCAGAGGATGCCACCCCGCAAGGCAGCCCGCCCAGAGAGAGTGTGTCGGAGGTTCCGGCGTCGTGGAGGGCCCAAGCCCCTGTTGGCCGCCAGCTGTGCCCGCAACGCCCTGGGTCGGGAGGAGGAGACCCCAGGCGCTGATAAGTTCCCCGCTGCGGATGGCCCGAAAGGCAAGGGTGAGGATGGGGACGTAGGCTGAACTTCGGGAGGATTGCGGGCCTGGAGTTTTGTTTCAGAGAGAACCAGATCGAGATGAGAACCTTTTCCAGGGAGCCCGGGTTTCCACCTGTGGCTGGGCGACCCGGTCCTAAACTCTTCTTTTCTGGGCCCTCGGCTTCCTCCGGCCGGGGCTCCTCTGGGGCAGCTAAGTTCCGCGCCTCCTGTGGGCGCCAGGTACTGGAGTGCCGATCCGCGCTGCGGTTGGCTTTTTGCTCCACAGCGCGCGGCCCCTCCAGGGGCTCCTGGTCTCTCTCAGCCAACTTCCTTCTGAGGCCGCCACCTCCCTCCAGAGCCGCTCGCGCCCTATTGCAGCGAGCCCCGCAGCGCCCGCCGGCAGCCACCGCACTTCGCAGGGGCCAACTTCCCCACCGCCTGCGCGTCTCCAGCCCGCCCTCGGACAGCGGCTACGGGGCGGCCCCAGCGCCACCACGATTGGCTGCCCGTCCGCCAGTCATGAGCTGTGACGCCCTGGGGCTGGCTCCGCCCCTCCCGCCGCGTGGCCCCGCCTCCCCTCCGGAGCCTATTCGGCTCAGCCCGGCGTTCCGCCTCATTCGCTGAGCAGGTCCGTGAACTGTCAGAGCGCTCCGAGCGGTTGAGCCGCGGCGGCCGCCAGGCTTGCGGTACTCCTCCTGAGGTGCCCGCCGGAGCCAATGTGCCCCGGTCCGCTGGGGCGTGAGCAGCCACCGAGTGGGGACAGCTTGGGACTTAGAACCCACAGCAGGGACGTCGGTTTGCGATCAGGACTCGGCGAGGAGGGTGAGTGGCCGCGAGCCGAGCTAGCGGCTCCTCTCCGCGCGGTTTGGCGGCGGGGGAGCGGGGACGGGACGTGTCCTGGAGCTCCGTTGTCCATTCGTCCGAGCTTGACCTCTGTGCGGAGGCCAGGGCCGGACGGGATTCACTCCATGCCAATATCCCCACTCCCGAACTTGTTTTCAAAGCATCCCAACTCCGCCCGGGACGCGGCTCCCGTCCGCACCAACTTAGGGTAGTTGACTTGGGTAGGGGGGGCCGGGACGCGTCCCCTGCTCCTCTGCGGCGACGACACTGAGAGCTGGGGCGGCCTCCGCGCCCGCGGCGTTCGGACCGCGGTTCCTGAGAAATTACCTGCGCGGTGCCGCAAGATGAGATCCGCGTCCCGGTCTGGATCCCCAGGCTGAGCGAGCGCTTATCGGGTTCAGGGTGGGTCTCAGCGCCAGAGAACCGGAGCGTCCAGCCGGTTTCTGTAGCGAAGGCTTCAGTGCTTTGCAGCTGCAAAGAAGAATTGACAGCACTGCTGGGCTTTGAACTTTGTAAAGTAATTGCTTTCTATTGGCACTTGAATCCATGTCCCTCCTAGGGTGCTCGGATCTCCACATCTACTCGCTAGGAGTGTCCAAAGGACTTCGTTAGGACCAGGTGGGAGCTGCTGTCGGTTCTGGTGCCCAGAGCCCCAGAGAATCCTAGAGGCTGCAAAAGGGATCGCCAGCCTGGTCGGTTGGTGTTTGAGCACCTGCCTGTTTAAGTGATGAAGTTGAGTCAGGAATTGACAGCAAATAACTCAAGGTTAAACCTGACACTCCGTTTGTGACTCGGTCTGGGTTAGATTTTGTTTTCCCCCTTAATGCTAAGGAAGTAAAAGCAGCTGGTTTTTCCGAGGCCAACTACATGCATGTTGTTTATAGTATGTGTGGACTAAATAGATTCAGTACGATGTTTTCTGGTAATTCTTATTTTACATGAATGAGAGCTTTTGAAAACACTAGACAGGTCCAGAATTTGGGGATGTCTAGACCTTTGAAACTACATGAAAATGTTGATATATATAGTTCTGTATGTGTATATGTAGATGTAGATGCGCATATACACACATATATACGTGTATTTGTGTGAGTATGTGTATGTTTATAAAATTAATAGGTGAATGAGGTAAATATTTGAAGGGGAAACTCAACCTTGAACTTCCCTTGGGTCACAGAGATGGACCCTTTGAGCCGTGGGGTGTTAGTGAGTGTGTATGCGTAAGCATGTCTGCATCTGCCTGTTCTGTCTGGGTCAGAGTATGTCCGTGAACTTTACGAGCGTTCAGTTCAATACCACTCGTTGCAGATTCCGCGTTCCTGTTTTACAGCCCAGCAGCCGCCAGCCGGCCCATCTGTTAAAACATAACACGTACACTTAAGTCCGAGCACTGGGGTGGAGCGTGGGTAGGGGGCAACTCTTAGCAGAAACAACATGCTACAAACAAAGCCTGCCTCACAAGTTCTATTTCCATTCAATATTTGACCTGAACTTGCAGTTTTGGTGAGGGAGAGAGGGAGATGGGAGTGTTTGTCTCTACAAACGGCAAACTGCATTTTGTGCAATAATTATAGCCACGACTTGGGGAAGGGGAGCTTGTAGGAGAAAAAAAGTAATAATCCCTCTAGAAATGTGGTGCTTGTCACATCACCATGCAACACTGGTTTACAGCTTTGCCGTATGGCATGTATATCAGAAACCATTTGCTTTTGCTTGTTAAAAGAATGCATTAAAACTAAATCGTTTTGCACCAAAAAAAAAAAAAAAACCCACCTTAATAGAAATAAACAGAGCTTTATTGCAGAGGCTAGTTAAGACTGCCGTAGTAATTAATGAAACACGCTTTTAGGAATTTATAACTTGGACATATATTCATATTCAGTCTAATCACTAGTTGCAATGGTACACAATTTATAGTTTAAAATAATAAAAAGGCTTTATCACAAAAATTCTGATGACTAAAAGGATATGACAGGAGTATAATAGTTTAATAAGTTCTTGCAGCCAAGTGACTGATACTTTAAAAAACAATAAATTCCTTTAATAGCGTAATTACTTTGGTGGCAAAATAAAGGCAGTATTTTTGAGAAGCATAGTTGATATTTTTCCCAATAACTTTATGCTCATAATTACATTTTAATAATGGTGTTCATTATACATGAACAGAATAAACTGTACTGATTTTTAAGAAATCACAAGAAGTATTATTTTCAATTTTATGGTATATAAACATTTTGGGGAAAACATGCAAAACACCAATCTGTGAGTGTCTTTAAATTTCTAATGGACTATATAGACATAATAATTTTCCTACCTTGATATGAATCATTCAGATTAACTAGGCTGTTTCTTAGAAATTCAGTTCTTGGGCTGGACTTCAGTTCCAGGGTTTCAATTTTGGAGTCTGGGGTGGAGCTTAGGAATCTGCATTTTCACAGCCACCCCCAACTGATTCTGATGCCAGGGATCCCTTCATTGTACTTTGAGAAACACTGGAATGGTGTTAATGACATAAAAGAACAATTATAGTCTATGAGTTGATTTAACAAATAATTGTTCAGAAATGTCCAGGCAGCCTTTGCTGGCCATGTGAAATTTATAGGTAATGCATTAACTCTGTCTTCCACAATGGACCTCTTTGGTCCTGTGTTTGAAAGTGTTTTAGAATCATCAGCTATACCTATTCCAGGTCAGCCCTGATTCTAAGGAAGTCCACCTGATGAAACAAAACCTGATGAATTTAAGACCACCCCCCACAACCCCAGTCTTAGTTCCTTCACGCCTCACTCTGAGTTCGGTGGAGTCCTGGGATGCTCTGGGAGTGACTTTGCCAGTTCTGCCTCACATGGTTGAGCATTTCCTTCTGGAAGGTAGAATCCTCATCCTCATGAGGCACCCTTTTTCTCTTTAAAAGCTGTTCTAGAACAAAGCCCAGCACCTCAGCTGGGCTACTACTGACTATATGAGATCTAGGATCTCCTTGGGAAGCTGTGGCTATTTTGCTTGTGGCCAGGAAGAGTGGCTCAGGCCACCCACCCAGAGGCCCAGGGATTCTTATTTTCTGAAAGTCACCTTAGGAGTATTTTGAGCTGCCTAATTAATTGGGTAAATAGATTTTCTCATTGTCACAGAGATGTGGGTTGAGAATTGTTTGCTACCTCTCCTTTCGCTGAGATCACTGTGAATTTTTATTAATTACTGCCAATTAGTTATTTGTCATTTGATACTGACATTTGGATTCTGTTCTCCTCTTTCAGACTGGCATAATTCTCCATTTAAGACTCCTAAATAAGGTTTGAAAGAGAAAGGATCTATCAGAAGTTACCCTTCCCTCTTTCTACTATCCAATTACCTAAAAATTCAAATGACTTCTTTCAGAGGTGAGAAGTATCCTGATAACAAAAGGATGTGGATAGGCCGGGGTATTGAACTTGGATTGTTCCAGACCACTGGATCATCATGGGACTTTTACAGAGTAATTTCTGTTTAAAGAAGCACTTGGCAAGCATGTTGATAGGTCACTTATCTTAACAATCCTTTGAGGACAATGATTTTTTCCTACTTTGTTCCAGATAAGCAAATAGCAACTACAAAAAGATAATGTTTAGATCTTGTCTTTCATATTCAAAGATGACACCAATAACTGAAAACTTGGCCTTGCATTTTAAATTGTTTTTATTTTGCATCATGGTGATATGCTAGGGTTATACTTAGTCATTCATATCATCTACAATTTTTTTAACTTTTTCTTCAAAATTTTCCTTATATTGAACATGATCTTGTAATAGTTTTTTTTATGAAGTTAACTACCATATATAATAATTAGTTCAAGCCAGCCTTGACCCAGAGAGGTAAATAATTTGCTTAAAGTCACAGATTACAAAAGCAGAAAAGCCTACATGTAGAATCCCTTAGACCTGTGTTTTAGCGCTGTGCTGTTTTCTCTATTGTCATGTTAAACTGCTAATGTTTTTACTCTGGCAAAATAGAGTTGCTTGTTTTATATGCTTAGCTTCTGTGTTATTGGATAGACTTAGAAAAACGGTAAATCCTAAAATATACTATCCAGAGCCCCTTATCATACAATGGGACTGATTTCTGCCCAGTTAAAAAACTGTAGTAGAATGCTATTTTTCTTGAAACTGGGCCATAGGTCATTGCAAGCTTCTAAGCAACAATTCTATTATAACTTTTTTTCTAGCTATGGCATTCTCCTGGCACGTAACTTTCCTTTGACAAATTCCTTTCAAGTTTTTTATCCTTCTTTTTAATCTTTATTCCCATAGCAAAATCTGCTTGTAAAAAATTTACTTTTTAAGTCAATCTGCCCTCTTAACATCTCCCAGTTCTTCTATTTTAGCCATTTTACTATTTCTCCTCCAAAATGCCCCCTCAAGTTCCTAATCTTCACTTTAGTTTTTTGAGTCTAGTAATATCCTTTAATATAGGACAGTCATTGAGCTACAGAAGTTTCACAACAGCTTAAGCTTGTGGATTTAATGACAGCAGTAGTATGAAAAAAGGAAAAGATGAAGGATAATATTGAAGTCATGTTGATATGTGTATCATATTAGATATTCCCAGCTTACAGTGTCAGTGGGAAATTTAAGATCTAGATGAATACAGTGACAGATGCACTCATCTGTGGCCTCACAGACACTCCTGATACAAGCTGAAAAATACAACTGAAGACAGCATCCTGGGTTACAGAAGGAAAACAAATGTTAAGCTCTGAGAAAAGAACTGGACAAAAAGTGAAAGGTCAGGGCTGGGATGGGTATCGTGGTAGAAAAGAAATACCTCCAGTAACATGCCAGACAGGGTGGTAAGAAATTTATAGAGGTGTAGACGGTTTGGGGTTTCCTGGGGCATTGATTCTGTTTTATATTGTCTTCACAACCTGCTCACCCTGCTTGCTTTAAATAATTTATTGCAGCAGCAGGCCTTCCCCTGTTAGTTTCTTTTTTTATATATAACTT